TCTGACAGCCTCTTTTGCCCTCCACAGGCATTGCACAACACGGGTGCTCTTACCTACATGCAGGCAATACACGCATACACATAAAATAAAAATAATAAAAATTAAAAAAATATTTTATTCTTATTTTATGTGTATGTGTGTATTGCCTTCATGTATGTAAGTGCACCTGTGTCATGCAATGCCCTCAGACTCCAGAAGAGGGCACTGGATCTCCTGGAACTAGAATTATGGATAGTTGTGCCAGTTGTGGTGGCACATGCCAGTAGGTATGCTGAAGAGGCAGAGGCAGGAGGATCGTGAGTTTGAGGCCACCTGGGTTACACATTTTCTTGTTTGTTTTTTCCTGTTTCTATACCCCTTTCTCTGCTCTCGAACACACAGACACACAGACACACACATACACACACTCATGCTAATATACACGCACAACAAATATCACTTGTTTCCTTTGAAGTAACTTCAGCCTTACTTAGATAAGGAGTTGGACAAGGGAGGGATTTTTTTTTTGGCGAGGTAGTGGGGGGGGTTCTGTTTATTTTATTTTAGGGTTTTCTTTTTTTTTTTTTTAGATTTAATTTATTTTATGTGTGTGGGGTATGGGCATGTCAGTGCTGGTGCCCAAGGAAGTCAGAAGAGGGCATCACATCCCCTGGAGCTCCAGTTACAGGCAGTTGTGAGTTACTCAGTGTGGGAGCTGAGAACTGAACCTGGGTCCTCTGCTAGAGCAACCAATACTCTTAACCACTGAGCCATCTCTCCAGCCCCTCTTTGTTTTTTGATATAGGATCTCATTATGTAGCCTGGAGTGGTCTGGATCTCACTATGTGGCCCAAGTTGGACTTGAACTTGCAGTAATCTTCCTGCCTCTGCCTCTCACATGCTAGAATTAGAGGTGTGTATCACTGTGCCTGGCCTCCATCGCCCATCTTAATGAGAAAATTTTAAAGTATTAGGAAACTCAATATCACAGATACAAGTTTTCTAAAATATTTTAGAATTTTTTTTTTTGCTATTTTTATTTTATGTGCATGAGTGTATTACCTGCATGCATGTAAGTGCACCTGTGTCTTGCAAAGTTTACCGACGTCAGAAGAGGGCATTGGATCCCCTGGAACTTGAATTACAGATGGTTGTTAGCTGCCTGCCATGTGGATGCTGGGAATCAAACCCAGGTCCTCTTGCAAGAGCAGCCAGAACTCTTAACGGCTGAGCCATCTCTCCAGCCCAAGTTAACTTTTGCTTGAAAGCTTCCATTTTATCCCTGACAACAAATATCGCTTTTCTTTGAGAAGCTCACTTTGTTTACTTTTCTTTTTCCTTCTTTCTGAATTTTGATACAAAATCTAACTATGTAGTTCTGGATGACCTGGAAAAGTTATGTAGACCTTTTATTATTTCATTGAGGACATTTCTACAGGAATTGCCTGTCCCTCTCCCTAGTGTGTGGTAGCAGACGGCAGTGATTACTGGTATAGTTAGTGCCTGTGACATCATTCATGCTAAGGCACCAGAAATTCTGCCCACTGTTGCCTTTGTGAATGTCACAAGGACAAAATTAGTGTGTGTCAACACACTCAAAGCAACTAATAACCTATTAGTACTGAAAGTTGGGTGTGGTGGTATATGTCTGTACTCCTAGCACTCTGGAGGTAGAGGCAAGAGGATCAGGAGGTTAAATCCAGCTTGAGCTACTTATTGGGTTCAAGGTCAGCCTGAGACACCTAAGATCCAGTTTAAAACAAAACAAGATCACAAAAAAATCTCCAGTACAATTATGGAAATAGTGGTTAGCTAATTTTGTTTGTTTGTTTGTTTGTTTGTTTATAGATAGATAGGGCCTGTAGCCCTAGCTGGCCTGGAACTTGCTATGTAGACCATGTTGGCCTTGAACTCACAGAGGTCCACTTGCCACTGCCTCCAGAGTGCTGGGACTAAAGTGTGTTGTGTTTACTGTTACCTATGGGTCTTCCCTACAAAGGAGCTTTATGCGGACACACACACAAAGCCTAGTGTGGTGAAACATGCTTGGAATCCCGGTGCTTGAGAGACTGAGGCAAGAGGATCTTGAGTTTGAATTTAGAACCAGCCTGGGCTACATAAGGAAGTCCTGTCTTTAAAAACAAAAGAAAGCCAAGTGTGGTGGCACACACCTTTAATCCCAGCACTTGGGAGGCAGAGGCAGGTGGATCTCTGTGAGTTCAAGGCCAGCCTGGTCTACATAGTGAGTTCCAGGACAGCTGGGGCTACAGGGAGACCCTGTCTCAAAAAGACCAAAAAAGACAAATGGCACATGCTAATGATCCCAGTAGTCCAGGAGACAGAGAAGAAAAGAGAAGACAAGACAAGACAGACAAGAAAGACAGACAAGACAGACAGACAGACAAGACAAGACAAGACAGACAAGATAAGACAGACAGACAAGACAGACAAGACAGACAGACAAGACAAGACAGACAAGCAAGACAGACAAGACAGACAGACAAGACAAGACAGACAAGCAAGACAGACAAGACAGACAGACAAGACAGACAGACAAGACAAGACAGACAGACAAGACAAGACAGACAGACAGACAGACAAGACAAGACAGACAAGCAAGACAGACAAGACAAACAGACAAGACAAGATAGACAGACAAGACAAGACAGACAGACAGACAGACAAGACAAGACAGACAAGACAAGACAGACAAGACAAGACAGACAAGACAAGACAGACAAGACAAGACAGACAAGACAAGACAGACAAGACAAGACAGACAAGACAAGACAGACAAGACAAGACAGACAAGACAAGACAGACAAGACAAGACAGACAAGACAAGACAGACAAGACAAGACAGACAAGACAAGAAAGAAAAGACAAGAAAGACAAGACAGACAGACAAGACAAGACAGACAGACAAGACAAGACAAGACAAGACAGACAAGACAGACAAGACAGACAAGACAAGACAGACAGACAAGACAGACAAGACAAGAAGGCATATGCATTGCAAATAATTTCTTGGTCTTGAGTTTGATTCCCAGCATAGGAAAAAAAAAACACCAAAAACTCAAGAAATAACCCAAAGAGAACTATTTATATGCTAATATATTGAGTTCTCATATATAATTTTTAAAAGATTTATTTTTATTTTATACATATGAATGCTTTGTATGGATGGCTACAGGTGCCCCACAGGCATGCAATGCCTGTAGCATCCAGAAGAGGGCATAGGAGCCCCTGGAACTGGAGTTCTGGACAGTGGTGAGCCACCATGTGGGTGTTGGGAAATGAACCAGGGTCCTCTGCAAGAACAGCCAGTGGTCTTGACTGCTGAGCCTTCTCTCTACAGCCCCTCCAATGTATATTGTTAAATGAAAGAAGCAAGATATAGGAAAGATTGTGAAAAGGCTGGGGGTGTAGTTAAAAGATGCCTGGCAGGTATAAGGCCCTGGGTTCAGTACACAAGATGGAGAAAGCAAGGGAAGGATGCAGGAAGGGAAGAAAAGATCTAAAACTTGCTACCTAGGAGCCAAGAAAGGAGAATGCAGAGGGCTTATGCTGGGATTCTTCTCTGGTAAAGAAATAGGTAACACCTGTTGCTCTCAGGTGCTGAGGCGCTGGTTGGGAGAGTTTCTCAGTGGGTCTCCTGGGGGTATGCTTTGATATTTGAACTCTAGTGACTGCCCTATTCAAAACGACTAAATAAACACTAAAAACAAACAGACAAAAGCTCCCGGAAGGTCTCTTCTGCATTGAGTTGGGAGTTCTCACTGTCAGGTGCTCCTTACTGGGGGCAACAGTAATAACATCTGCCCTCTATTGAGTCTTTAACACATACCAAACAGCATATAAGTATGTTAACACAAACCACCCTCCCAAAAACCCTCTGAAAGAGACAGTGATGGCATCTCCATTTTGAAGATGGGGTGCTGTTGCCCTAGCTAGGCTGGTGGATAGAGGAGCCCCACCCTCTTCAGCATGGGTTTTTCTGTCCCCTTTCACCCGCAGATAAAATCCTGGTTCACTGCGCCATGGGCCGGAGCCGGTCAGCGACTCTGGTCTTGGCTTACCTGATGATTCACAGGAACATGACCCTGGTGGACGCCATTCAACAAGTGGCCAAGAACCGCTGTGTCCTGCCCAACCGGGGCTTCCTGAAGCAGCTCCGAGAGCTGGACAAGCAGTTGGTGCAGCAGAGGCAACAGGCCCGGCATGGGAACAGTGAGCTGGAGCTATAGGGCCTCCTAGGACGGAGCAGGGACACTGGGACCCAGAATGGATGGCTGAATGTGGTGTTGGCCAGAGACTTTGCTGATCATGAAGAAGAGACAGTGAAGCCAAAGCCTGGGCACAGGGAGGATTTGTAGTGGTCTCCTTTGAGTCCAGGACTGGTTCTCGGTCTTGGCCTCTCGGTGTGGAGAGCAGTGGGTGCAGACGAGGTACCGTTCTGCATAGTCTTTAAGTTGGAAGCAGAAAGGGGTTTTTTAATGTGTGCGCACTGTATTGTGATTAAACGTTTGGCTCTGTCTGAAAGGAAAATCACATTTTTATAAAACATCTTTTTAAAAATAGAACTTGATTTTTTAATCACAGAAAAGTGGCCTGGCAAGCTGTGTTAGAGGACAGATTTTACCATTTATTGGCAAGCATGGGAGGTACCTTGTGTTTCTTTAGAGTGAACCCTTAGAGTAGGAAGTTACTATCCATAGATGCTGTTTGTTTGCCAGGGGTAGGGGAAGGGAGAATAGGTAGAGTCCTGGGCCCCTGTACAGAAGCCCCTTTCCTGCATCCCAGCCAGGGCTGACATCACCCAAATGAATTGGGGTGAATTTGGACAAGTGAGACTGTGACTATAATTTGAGGGGGAAAAGAGAGGCAGGAGACACTCTTTAGGGGACCAGGACACAAGAAAGTTCCTTTCTTTTTGACTCTAATCAGAGCTGAAGGGCTGATTTGTTTTCGTTCACACCCAGACATATTTGCAGATCTGTGGTTTGCATGGACTGGGAGGATACAGCAATTAGTTGAGCTCTGGTGTGAGTTCTCTTGGAGAGTTAAGCCTGCTGCCTGGATGGTCATTCTCCACTCTTGAGAAAACAGCCGCAGTACTCTAGGGAGTGGGTGCTTCTGGAAGACAAGAGAGGCTGCTGGTGGATGACCAGAAGTAGAAGCATCCTGGAGAAAGCAAAGGGTCCTCAAGGCCTGCTGGGAAACTAAGGGAAGGGGCCCAGGTCTCCATTTTGAACTGGAGAATTGAAAAGGACATTCTTGCTGGAGAAAGGTCACAGTCCAGGGCAGATGGGTAAAGCCATCCAAATCACTGATATACCCCAGGGAGCTGTTTTTGCCTTCATACCACAGGGAAGCCCTGTCGCCTGGTTCCTTATGGCTAGGCCTGGTTTTCCCAGGATTATTCTGGGAATGCCCAGAAAGAGCCTGGGTCCTCCTAGTTAACATGCACATGGGAAGAGAGTAACTTGAGACTCCCTCATGGTTAGAATATCAGTCTTGTAATAAATTAAAATACTAAAATGTTGCCAGTAAGTTGCAAAACAAAGAGGCAAAGTTGAACTGCAAATACAGATGTGTAGTCAAGTGGTCTATTGGGCTGAAAAGGGAGTGTGTGCCCTCTGAAAGTGTGACAGTGTCAAACTGGGCATACTCAGCTGTACCAGCCACAACTCTCATGGCTGTGAGGGGCAGAACACCGCAGTGGCATAATGACCAAGGAGGATGGAATTGCTTGATGATTTAGATGCAGTGTAATGGGAGTGTACAGCAGTCTGGTGAGCCAGAGGCTCTTGGGAGAGGGACATGGTGTCGAAGGAGTCCCTACTTCGGCTTTACCATCAGCATCCAGATGCCCTCCACTGAGCCTAGTTATCTCTTAGATCTCACCTATTCTGTGTCCAGACGCAAGTTGCTATTTCTATTTTAATAAAGTACTTACATTTAAGTGAATTCAACATGTAGGAAAGACGGAACATATATAGTCCCATTAAAGGTGGCTTGTTTTTTTTTATTTTTTGTCTTTTGGAGACAGGGTCTCCCTGTAGCCCCAGCTGTCCTGGAACTCACTATGCAGACCAGGCTGTCCTTGAACTCACAAAGATCTGCCTGCCTCTGCCTCCCAAGTGCTGGGATTAAAGGCGTGCGCCACCATGCCTGGCAAGGGTGGCTTTTTTTTAAAGCAGTTGTCCCCCACCCTCTTTTGTGCCCATCTTTTGTGGACCCCAGTTCTGCTGAAGCAGAGAATGTAATGTTGGGTGCCGGGCCTCTTCTTCTTGATTCTGAGGCAGGAGAGAGGAGGAACAAAATTTTGCAATAGTGTTTCAAGACTTCATAAGTAAACTTCATTTGGTTACCAAGCATTTGTTGAGAATTGCCACATTCCAAAATCTGGGTTAAGAGGTTAAAACCAACCAACCAACCAGATGCAATAAAGCACAATGTGAGAAATGGGAACTAAGGTAAAATGGGAAGAGACCCACTCTGGACTGGTTGGTGGGTGATCTTTATTTGGGGGTGGGTCTCGAGACAGGATTGCACTGTTGTGTGGCCCAGGCTGGCTTTGAACTCAAGATCCTCCTGCCTCAGGCTCCTAGCTGTTGTATGTGCCTCATATATACCTCACTGAGGTTGCAAGGTTAGTTTTTTGGAGTGTATCTTCTAAATGGGGAAGGAGGCTCTAGGCTGAGGATCTCCCTATCATGTGAGGGAGTTTGGGAGATGGGTAAAAAAAAAACTAGATTTAATTCCAAGCACAAAGGAAACCATCAAAGCCTTTTAGGTGGGGGTGGGCAGTGCCAGCTGTTTCCAGATCACTCTGGAATTTGACCTGGAATCTAGAGCTTAGAGGAAAGTTGATGGCTGGAGATAAAATTCTGGGTGTTTTCTAATAGTGGGTAGAGTTGGAAGTCTCCATATTGGATGAGGTAAGGAGAGAGATATACTATACCTCAGCCCTAGAGTTGCAGAATTAGGCCTGGGTGGAGGAGGAGGAAGCAGGAAAGGGACCTGAGAAAAAGAAGTACAGAAGCCTGGACAGAAACAAAGCCAAGGCCTTGCTCAGTGATACTTCCGTATCTGAAGCTGATGGCTGGGCAAGAATGTGGATTTACACAGCATTTAATGGATTTGACAACACCATGGGTCCATCAGCCAACCCTTTAAATCAGAGGGTGACAGGCTCTGGCCTTTTAGGATTACAGTATTTTAGGATAGAGCTGTGATTCAGAGATCTGGGTATATTTCAGCTTACAGCTTTAGCTGGGCTCATTTGGGAAATTGACTTCTTTCTTCTACTTCCTGATCTGTAAATTGAAAATGAGGCTCTCATTTCTTGGATAGGAGGGTGTGGATTATGTGGGAGGGCTGTCCACCAAAGCTGTCTGCAATGATATTGAGTCATTACTTCCAAAAGGGTTCCCCTAATACCTAGGCAGGCACCACTTGAGCTACTCAGGTGAAGCTGACATCAGATAACCACTTGTCTGAACTCTTTAAAATGGAAGAACACATCATTGGTTTTAAAAATGTAGCTCACGAGTGGATTCCAATTGAATGGTGATTATATTCAGTTCTGGCCAATCCAAGTTCTGTGGTGTTGCATTCGGGGCTGCAGACACTTGCCCAGTGAGGGGATATGTGTGGGAGAGTGTATGGTGCCCTGCAGCCAATTGGCTAGATGGTTCCTTTCTGATCCTAAGCCTCTTTCCTTAAGGGATGCTGGGACTCCAAGTCCAATGACAGGCTTCCAGACCTGGCTATGCTGTTGCTCCTCTGACGCCAGTGACACAAGGTACCCCCAGTGCTGTTCTGACAGGTGTGGAGGAAGTGACTGGGACTTTATCTGCAAGGTCCGTAGGGCTGTGAAGCAAACAAAAACAGTGTGGACACTGGAGCCCAGATATCCCAACTCAAGGGTATAATTAACAGGCCAAAGGGAAAGGGGTGTCTCAGCTGCCGAAGAATATTACCGTTAAGAGGAAGACACTAATAAGCACATAGTTTAAGGTGTAGGCCCGTGAGGTATCTGTGAGTCTTGGAGACTGGGCCAGTCCACTGCACAACGTGTGATCCACTGGGCTGCTGGGATTCTTGGCCATTCCTGACCTGCTCTAGCATTTGGTTCATACAAACAGCACACCATTACCTACCATTTGGATGGATGTCAGGCTTCCTTTCACAACTCGGAATTCTGTCCTCCCTTGGCCTCTTCACGAAAGCCCTTCCTCATCTACTCCTGGGAAACTGAAAGGTAAAATGTGGACACTAAAGCCGCCAAGGGTAAAAGCATAAAGCCAAACCCCACAGGCTTCTTCCATCAGGGTGGCTTTTTGTTCTTGTGTATATGGAGCGTCCTGCTCTTTGGAGTCTAGTTTAAGGGTTGTCTATGATCTGCAGAGTTGTGAGCCCCATGTTTAGATGCTTTGGGAGCTCGGCAGGCTGGTTATGCACAGGTGCCAGGCCGAACATTTACTTCTCGGTTTGTTGCTTGAGTAATCAAACATTTTAACTCACAGGCCAAACGTTCTCTGAATGCCAAGAAGTGTTTGTGAACACTTTTTTTTTGGTCTAAACTTTCAATGCTAATGAAAACATACAATCATTCACCACAGAGCAAAACTTTCACACTTTTGTTTTCTAAGGAAATGTATTTTGAACTGTGACACTCCCAATTGGGCGCTCATGGTATTAATCTTTAAAAAAGTTTCTAACATGGTACCAGGCCCTCAGGGTGTTTATACAGACAGTATAAATGAGGTGACTGGACAGCTGTGTGGGATCTCTTTGCAAATGAAAATCAAAGTCAAAAAAGAAAAAACAATTCACTTTATTTTAAAGACAATGATTGGCATACAGAAGGTATGCACTACCATAAAATAAACTTTCATGAAAAGCATTAAAATCCATTATAAATTAATTTATTAAATAGGTATTTGGTATATGTGATGGTTTTATTAGATATTACTCTTATTTATTGCCAACCCCTCCCCCAAAGTCAAAACAGATCAGGAAAATCTCATCACTCCAATTTACACTAAATAATTAATTTTCCCCAAATGTGTGTGTGTTCTGAGATGTGACACATAGTACAGTTCAGTTGGTCATCCTCCATCAATCATAATATGACAGGACACAAGAGGCTAAAAATGGCTCATCATAATTTATTTTATGTTAAAATGTACAGCTTTTTTTGTTTTGTTTTTTGTTTTTGTTCTTTTTTTTCTTTTTTTGAAGTAACTGACTAAAAAGAGAACAGATAAATACAAGAGTGTCGCTGGCTCCTATTTTATACAAGGGTTACGCCTCTCCTGCTTGGCCCTTACTGTCACCCTGTACAGGTACAAAGGTTACAAAAAAGGAAGCAATATAAACAGACACAAATAACCTTTTTGCTTTTTTACATGCGATTTGTGAGCTTAGTTTGAGCTATTCACAAGCTACTTTTCTATTTTTCCTTAAAAAATAACTCCAATATTTTATA